GAGCAGGAACTTTCTCAGTGGTAAGTGTCAAGTTTTAACAAGTTTGTGGTAATTATAAGATGTGATCAAACAAATTTACTCTCACAGTGTAGGATACAGTGTCTTCTTGACATGATGTTAACCACACGGAAACTTTACTGTTTGTGGGCAGGCAAATTGGCGACGTAGAACGTGGGCAGGCATTATAACAGAATAAGATTCAAATTCCTGATGACTCATTTAGGCGATTGCGAGCTGACTCTTTTTTTTTGATTGACAATAACTTTATTTATCGTGCGCTGTCGGCTTCACATCTTTGCAGATAGTTTATGTTCACATACAGCTACATGACACACTGCATGAAAGGTAATATTCGAAAAGGCATAATAGGGGCACTTTAAGGAATCCACAAATTAGCTAACTAACAGCTGCTAACTAAAATGTGTAGTTTAAAGTATAGGTCTGGCCTACCACTGGGTCCTTTTGGAACAGCAAATCTGGTGCTTGATGCAGTTGGAAGGGGCTCAATGACATCTTCTGTCATCTCTGGCTCACGGTCTTGCTCAGAGCCAGAGGTCTCTGTGTCATCCCTTGATACATCTATAACACAAGATCCATTAGTGGTTCCCATAGAAGAGTAAAACACACACACACACACACACACAATGAACGTCAATGGGAACCCAAAATTATTTAATTACCAACATGATTCAAAATAACTTGTTGTGAATAAATGACAGGATTTTGATTTTTAGGTGAACTGTCCCTTTAATCTGACAAAATCAACTGTTAAAAGCTGAAGCTCAACTTAAATTCTGAAATTGCATGTGATTGCTGAGTAGATGCTCTGACCTGCTGGTGGACCTGAAGTCTGACCACACTGACTCTGACTAGTCTCAGGTATGGAGCTGCTCTGGGATCCAGTGCAAGGGGTGGGGTCTGTTTGAATCTGATCTGCCTGTTTGTGCTTCTTTAAAATAAGTCAAGTCAAGTCAAGTCACCTTTATTTATATAGCGCTTTTAACAATACAGATTGTGTCAAAGCAACTGAACAGCATTAATTAGGAAAATAGTGTCAATAATGCAAA